GGGCTGGACCTCATTCATGAGGTCAACAGCCCCAGGCCTGCCGGAATAGCCAGGTCTTAGTAGACTTTAGGAAGCCCGAGAAAGTGAGGAAGGTCCGGATCTCTGGGGGTAGATCGTTCCATAGGGCCAGGGCAGCTACAGAGAAGGCTCTCCCCCCGAGGAGCTGCCAGACGACATTGTCTAGTCGACGGCACCTGGAGAAGGCCCAACCTGTGTGATCTTATCGGACCCTGGGAGGTATGTGGCAGAATACGGTCTCGTAGATATCCGGGTCCTAAGCCATGTAGGGCTTTAAAGGTGATAACCAGCACCTTGAAGCATGTTCGGAGACCGATGGGGAGCCAGTGTAGAGGATGGGTGTAACATGGATGTATCTAGGTACACCCAGTATCGCTCACGCGGCTGCATTCTGGACCAGTTATAGTCTCCGAACACTTTTCAGGGGCAGCCCCATGTAAAGCGCGTTACAGTAAAGTAACCAAAATAGTACATCTATGCAGGAGAGGAAGGAATCAGCAAAGTTGAAGGGACCTTCAACAACTGCAATAGTAAAATCTCCAGGAATCACATGGAGAGAACTGTACCTCTCAGGACTGATCTTGTCCAGGGATCACAGAATACACTTATAACAGTTAGTGACCATCCGTTCAAAGTTACAATGGCACTGAAAAAAGTGACTTATGGCCATTTTTTTTTGCAGGATCCACATAATCACGTGATCAAAATTCAGATGCTGGGCAACTGGATCGTATTTATGACCACGGCTATGCGCCAAGATCATATGATCGCCTTCTGTGATCTTGTCAAGCAAAGTCAATGGGGAAATCAGATCTACTTAACAACCCGGCTGCTAACTTACCAACTGCAGGGATTCACTTAACAATTGTGGCAAGAAAGGTTGTAAAATGGGACAAAACTCACTGAACAAGTGTCTCACTTAACGACAGAAATCTGGGGCTCCATTGTGGTCATAAGTCAAGGACTGCCTGTACTGATTGGGAAAATCAAACTCTTGGCAAAAGGGAGGAATAGCTACCAAATTGCAACAGTGAGAATCAACCCTCAGCAAGTTGTGTTAACATTTCCTTAATAGTTATTAAGTCCTTATTCTGGAAATCAATACAGGGAATTAGGCGACTTAGCAAGCTATTCCCTGAAAAGCAATTCGCACTTGCTCTTAAGGAGCAACTAACTGCCAGTTGACCCTCACCCTCTTCTTGGTTCTCTTTCCTCTCTTCTTTTTCTTCCTCTTCTTCTTCGCTAGACCCATCTCCAAACTCCTTTTCATACTGAGCTTCCATCTGCTGCAGTTCGCGCTCCAGGTCAGACATGGTAATCCAGCTCTGCTCCTTGTATTGCTCTGCCAGCCTTTGAAAGGAAGCAGGAGACAAAAGGTGAGGATTCCCATAGGCTGGCTTTGTGTAAATACCCTAAACCAGGTGTGTCAAACTCAAGGCCCGGGGGCTGGATGCGGCCTGTGGAGCTGACAGCAGAGTCAGTCAGTGAGGAGGTTGGGGAGGAACATGGGCCAGTCCTGGAGGCTGGGGAAGGCTCAGGCGAGGGCTCTGGGTCAGAAGCAGAGATGGGGTCAAGGCCATCTGACATTCTCGGCTGCCTTCGGAGCTAGACAGCAGTGAGGCAGAGGAACAGCTGGAGCCTGATCTCAGTGTGTGCATATGCAGAGATGCCAGAAGAAAAGAACAGCTCAGAAATCGGGGTCGACTTGGGAGTAAAGCCACAGGTGGACTGTGAATGGCCCCTCCCATAGGAAATAAAAGAGGAGCNGTGTATAAGACACACCCAGATTTTCAGCCTCTTTTTTGAGGGGAAAAAGGTGTGTCTTATACTTCGAAAAATACAGTATGTGTCAAAGAATTATGCACATCCTTTGACTTCATTTTATATATAATGAGTCGAAAATTAATTTCCCACATGTTAAGGAATGAGAAGGAGCTCCACAAAGTACTGGGATACCTTAGATAGTTCAACAGACACTTTCTGTGACTGTTTCATGGTTGCCTCTTGGGAAACAAAGGCAACCTAATCAATTCCAATTTCAGTAGAACTGAACAATCTTTTAGAGAGAATTATTCATGTCCTCCTTGGTTTTCTTGAGAAGAAGCAATATTTATTTTTCTGCACTGAATCTCTGAAAACAGCACCATCTAAACCAAGAGCTTGTCAAGCAAAATATTGTGGAAACCTACTAGAAACAAATTCCAGAGAGAAGTAGGTTTCTAAATATTTATAATGCCCAACTTTGATCCTTATTTTGACAAAAGAATACCATGCTTTCTTCCATTTCCCTATCCGTTACTGCTCTCCTTTTCTTCTGCAAAGAATTGGGACGTAGACTAGAGCCATAGAGATGGAGTTCAACACGTTCTACTTTGTAAAGCCCAAGCTTTAGTTGGAGAGCTATCAGAGAGTATCCTCTCGAGATAGATGACCTCAGGAGGTTGTTCTGACTAATCCCTGTTCAAAGAAAAAGAAACATGAGGCGATTGCTTATCAACCATCTGGCAAAGATCATTCAGCTTCTGCGAAAATAAGTATTAGATCCCCATTAACATTTTTGTGAGATTCATCTTTAAATCAACACTTATACAAAAGCAAACACATGCTTTATGGAAATTTATGTTTCAAGGTGTGGAGGTGATTGCTAGCTTAGAGCCAGATGAATGGAGCATTTCTTGTATGTGCTTTAGACCTGCTTGGAGTTTCTCATGAGGACAAAGAAAAAGGCTGTTTAAGGGCTGCCAAACCATTCCATGACCAAGACCTACAGGTCTCAGAAGAGACCAACCTCCTCTGGGTCAGCCCTAGGGGGGCAGAGAACAGTCCAACCCAATTTCTTCCAATTCTGGACCATCAACTGGAAAGAGTTCTGATATCTGAAGATCCCAAAGGATTATTTGTTTAAGAACCGAACTTGGAAAAAGATCCATAGGTGAAACAATTCTGTTTACAAATGTTTCTTCTTTCTGATTATGCCAAAAACAATGATTCCAGTGCTGCCTGAATAGGACGAAGAAATAAAAGGTTTAAGGTTTATTAAAATTTGTATGCCGCCCACACCTATCGGGACTCTGGGCGGCTCACAGCAAGACAGAAACA